TTTTTTTGGTCTTTGTGAGACAGGGTCTCCCTGTAGCCCCAGCCGTCCTGGAACTCACTGTGTAGACCAGGCTGGCCTCGAACTCACAAAGATCTGCCTGCCTCTGCCTTCCAAGTTCTGGGATTAAAGGCATGTGCCATCACGCCCGGCTGTATTATTATTTTTAGTGTATGATAAGAGTATGGAGGCCAGAGGACAACTCTTGGGTGTTTGCTCCTTTTACTGTAGACCCCAGGGATTGAACTCAAGTTGTCAGGCTTGCTCTGCAAGCACCTTTAACCCCTGAACCATATCACTGGCCCTATCTTAACCATCTTGATAGGCATATCTCACTGTGGCTTTACTTGGCCTTTCCTTGATGACTAATGATATTGAATAGTTTTTCATATTATCGTCTGCCACCTTTAATGAAAGGTTTATGTCTTTTTGCCCATTTTCCAATTAGACTTTGTTTTAAAGGCAGGATCTCACTGTGTAGCTCTAATTGACCTGGAACCTGCTATGTAAAACAAGCTGACCTCAAACTCACCAGAGATCCATCTGCCTCTACTTCCTGAGTGCTGGGACTAAAGGCGTGTGCCACTCCACCAGGCTAATTTTTTTTTAATTTAGAGTTATAAGAAGATTTCAGATATTTTACATACTGATGTATTCTCATATGTAGATTTTCTTTCTTTTTTTAAAAAATTTTTTAAATTTTGAAATAAAGTCTCATTATGTAATTCTGATTGACCTGAAACTATATACCTAGGTTGGCCTCAAATTTCAATTGATCCTCCTGCCTCTGACTGCCAAGTGCTGAGATCCCAAGTGTCTGCCACCATGCCTGGCCACCTCTTACCCTCTCTACATGGACTTTCACAGAGAAAAACTTTAATTTTAAGGGGTCAAACATATTATTTTTTCTTCCTATAGATCATGGTTTTAAACTATGTATATTCATTTTTTTAAAATTCTAACAAGGAACTAGAAAGATAGTTTAGTTGGTAAAGTGCTTACCATACAAGTACGAGTATCTGAGTTTAATTCCCAGAACTTATCTAAAAAAGCCAGGCATAGTGATGCATGTTTATAATCCCAGCACTGGGGAGGTGGAGACAGGAGGAGTCTGGGGCTTGCCGGCTAGCCAGCCACCCAAGCAAAATTGGTGATTCTCAGGCCAGTAAGAGACCCTGTCTCAAAAACAACAAACAAACAAACAAACAAACAAAAAAGTTGCTAGGCATGGTAGCATACACCTTTAATCCCAGCACTCAGAGGCAGGCAGATCTCTGTGAGTTTGAGGTTAGCCTGGACTACATATCGAGTCCCAGATAGCTAGTTCCACACAGTGATACCCCATCTCAAAAACAACAAAAAAGTGTCTGGCTCCTGAGAACCAACACCTAATGCTATCCTTGGGTTTTCACATGCACATGTAAAATTTTCTGATGAAAAATAATAAAAGCCAGGCGTGGTGGCACATGCCTGTAGTCCCAGCACTTGGGAGGTAGAGGCAGGCGGATCTCTGTGAGTTCAAGGCCAGCCTGGTCTACATAGTGAGTTCCAGGACAGCTGGGGCCACAGGGAGACCCTGCTTCAAAAGATCAAAAAAAAATGACTGTGACCTCCTTAATTCCTCTGCCCTGAGACAAGAACAAATAAAAAAAATAGCAGAGGCTTGCAAGATGACTCAGTGGATTAAGGAGTTTGTTGCCAAGCCTGAGTTCAATCCCCAGAACCCATATGAAGAAGAAAGCCAACTCCCTCACACACATACAAAAATAAATAAATGAGGGGCCTAGAGAGATGGCTCAGTGGTTAATAATACTGGCTACTCTTCCAGAGGAGTTCAGAGTTCAGTTCCTAGTACCCATAACAGGAAGCTCACAACTACTTATAATTCCAGCTCCAGGGGATATGACACTTCCTTAGGCATCTGTGCACATGTGGGCATACACACACATACCAGAGAGAGGGAGGGAGGGAGGGAAGGAGAATTTTTTTTAAGAAATGAATAAGAGGGGCTGGAGAGATAGCTCAGCAGTTGAGAGCACTGGCTGCTCTTGCAGAGGTCCCCAGGTTCAGTTCCCAGCACCCACAGGGTAGCTAATTATCATCCATGACTCCAGTTCTAGGGGATCTGATGCCCTTTTCTGGCCCCTGCTGGCATTGTGTACACATGGTAGCCTTACATACACACATAAAATATAAAGTTAAAAAAGGTTTAAGATGGTAAAGAAAGCAGCTTCTAGATTAAAGAATGGATGAATGAATGAATGAATGAATGAATGAGTGAATTAGTAACTGTTTAAAAACAAGTCTCAGCCAGACGTGGTGGCACATGCCTTTAATTCCATCACTTGGGAGGCAGAGGCAGGCGGCTATCTGTGAGTTCGAGGCCAGCCTGGTCAGCTGGGGCTACAGGGAGACCCTGTCTCAAAAAGACAAGAAACAAAACAAAACAACAACAACAAAAAAAAACAAGTCTCAGGCAAAGTACATAATCCCAGTGCTGGAAAGGCAGACAGGTGGATCCCTAGAGCTTGCTGGCCAGCCAGCCTAGCCAAATTGGTGCACTCCAGGTTCAATGAGAGATTCTGTCTCAAAAAAGAGACTAGAGAGTGAACTGAAGAAAACACTAATGTCAACTTCTGGTCTTCACATATATACACATGCATGAGCGCCCACTTGCATACATACACTCATGCGCAAAAGACAAAAATGAATATTAAAATGCATGCTACATGCCACTTCAATCATCTTGCATACTAACTTTGAAAATCATAGAGCCAGTGCACAGTAGATACCCCAGCACTTAGGGTTGGATAGGTAGGTAAAGGTTCCCAGGGACCATGCCAACTAATAATCCCCGACAATCCTCCCTGCAGATCAACATGTACCTGACATCACGTGTCCTGTTTGCCCTGTGCCGACTAGCTGTGGAGAAGGGCTACATCCCTGAGTTCAGGTGGGACCCGTTCCCTTTGCACACCGCAATAGTTTGGGGGATTGCGCTGTGGCTCTTTGAATATCACCGGAACACACTGCAACCCTCACTGCAGTCTTCCATGACCTACCTCTACGAGGATAGCAAAGTATGGCATGACATCTCAGACTTCCTCATCTACAACAAGAGCCGCCCCTCCAAGTAACAGCCCAAGGTGCTCATGGGAGCTCCTCCACCTGAACAGCTTCCAGGCAGTGTCCAGCTGCAGCTCAAAGTTTGGCTCTGTCTGCAAACCCTCACCGAGGATCCCACCTTCTCAAAGTCATGGACCTCACAACTCCAGCTTGTATTATCCCAGGGTTCCATTTGCTGAAGTAAAAGCACTGATTTTTGCACCCACTTGGTCCTTTTGAACCGTGCAACATGCAGCTCTATCCTGCTGAGGAGTCTGGGGCTTGATTCCAGCTGTCCTTCTGACTTCTGTAAGGACAGGGCAAATTGCATCTTCTCTGGGCCTCAAGCTGTTCAGCTCAGAGGCGGACCCTTAGAGGAGGGTCTCTTCCTGGTGTGTATGTTAATCCTCCCCTGTGCTGTTTGCTGGTGGGCAGTAGGTTACAACTTTGAAAAAAAATACTAAGTTCCTTGTCTATGATGTTCTATTGGAGAAGTTCTAGAGCTCCACTGTCAACAGAAACACAACATGAGCCATATGTATAATTAAAAATTTTCTAGGCCTGGGGGTATAGCCCAGTGGTATAGTATTTGCAAAGCTTGCACAAGACCCTGGACTCTATCCCCGGCACTGAAAATAAAACTTCTAGTAGCCACATTTTTTAAAGTACAAAGAAGACGGGAAGTGGTAGTGTTGTGAGTTCCAGGCCAGCCTAGGCTATAACAACATCCTGTCTCAAAAACAGAAGGAAAGGCCAGGGAGATGGCTCAGTGAGTGGAGGAACTTATAGCCAAGCCTGACAACCTGAGTTTGATCCCCAGGTTCCACACATTGAAAGGAGAGAACCAACTCCTGCAAGTTGTACACACACACACACATGCACACACACAATAAATAAAATGTAATAACATTTTTAGAAAAGAACAAGTAAGGGGCTAGAGAGATGGCTCAGCGGTTAAGAATACTGATTGTTCTTACGGAGACCCAGGTTTGAATCTCAGCACCCACATGGCAGCTAACAACTGTCCATAACTCCACAGCCTCTTCTGTCCTCCTCGGGCATTGCACAACACAGGTGCACTTATCTACATGCAGGCATAACACTCATACAGATAAAATAAAAATAATAAATAAAAATTTTGAAAAAAGAAAAGAACAGGTAAGATTAATCTTAATCATATATTTTGACTAATATTTCCAAAATGTCATTTCAACATGTATTAACTTAAAAAATTAATGATCTATTTTTTTTTTGTCTGTTTTGAGACAGGGTCTCCCTGTAGCCCCAGCTGTCCTGGAACTCACTATGTATACCAGGCTGGCCTTGAACTCACAGAGATCTGCCTGCCACTGCCTCCCAAGTGCTGGGATTAAAGGTGTGGGCCACCACGCCAGCTGAACATTGTTATTCTTAATCCATACAGTCACCCCTTCTAAGGATGTATGCCAATCCATGTTTTACAGACTTGGAAACAGAGGGTCAGAGAGAGGAAGTAACTTATCCAAAGTACTACCACTATCGCTGTTGATAGCCACATTATGATTTGAACCCAAGTCTATCCAATTTCAAAGCCCATGTTTTCTTCAGTGCCTTACTTTGAATATAGAAAACCTCAGCCATGCTATGCAAACACAAGCTAGTTATAGGATCTGGCATTTGAAACCAGCTCAGATGCCTTCAGGAGCTTGCAGTGACATACATGCAAATGCTCAGGATGCTATGCACTAGGGGTGATGGGGCACAGTGAACTGGAGACTCAGGTGCCAGGCAGATTTTTTTAAATCACCAGACAAATCAAGCCACTCTCCAGAAAAATCTGATCCATTGGCTACCTATTTGAGACCCTTAGTTTAGTAGGAATACATCTATTAATGTACTTAACAGGCCTTCCTCTCCTGTGTTTTTTCATCTTAGAAAGTATTAGTAGAAATCTGTGTGAGTCATTGGAGTGCTTATTTGCATACAGATTTTGTCTGGGCATGGTGGCACGCATCTCTTTCCCAGCATCTGAAAGGTAGAGGCAAAAGAATGGAGAGTTCAAGGTCATCCTCAGTTACATAGAGAGTTGTAGACCGCCTGGGCTACATGAGACTGTCTCAAAAAAGAATAAATAAATAAAAATAAATAAAATGCAGATTCTGATCCTGGGGTCTGGGATGGGCTTGAGAATCTGCATTCCCTACAAGCTCCCCATGATCTCCATGCTTTGCTCTGAGCCCCAGCCTAAGGATGGAGGGAGTAGAGAATGACAGGGCCAATCACTGTCATCTTATGTAGCAGACAAGTCACAGAGCTGTTGGGTAATTGGGAGGGATTTTGTCTGAGCCCAGAGTGTTGTTAGCTGCAAGTTCAAAGCCCATAATTGTTTTTGTTTGTTTGTTTTTTAATTTTTTTGAGACAGGGTCTCTCTGTAGCCCAAGCTGGCTTGGAGCTTGCTATGTAAACCAGGCTGGCCTCCATCTCACAGAGATCTGCCTACCTCTGTGTGCTGGGATTAAAGATGTGTGCTACCATGCTTGGCAGAACAGGTGACTTTGAAGACTTTAAATTATATTTTCACTAGAGGATGAACAAACTCTGGAGGTTGTGGGGAGAGGGAGGTTGGCCATTACCAGGCAGGTTCTAGAATGGATTAGGTAGGGGGCCTTGCCTCAGTCCATCTGTGCATGCCCAGCTTCTCCAGTGAGCACCCCTGTGTCTCCCTGCCTAAGGACTCTGCCTGCCACTGGTGCCTGCTTTCCTACTCTGCAGCAGGCACGAAGTGCTGGGGATTAACCTGTCCCTGGAGCAGCATTAACCCAGGACTGAGACATACCTACACCCAAAGCCTTTACCCCTCAGGTGAGATGACCCTCAGTTAATGCTATACACTGGCTCCCAGAGCTCCCAGCAGGTCCGGGCTCTGGGTGCCCATGCTGGGAACTATCTCCTGCATGCCTCAGCCATTGTGTCCTGGGACCATTTCCTATATAAATCACTTGCAATCAAATCTTTACTTTGGGGTCTATTGTTGAGGGAACCCAAACTAAAAAGGGCCATTGGACAGCTGATTGATACGCAGTATGCATGGTGGCAAGGGAAAGGGGCTTCAGGAACCAGGGTGCCTGGGCTATCCATTCTGTGCCTCTGTTTTCTCACCTGTAAGATAGGCATCTCCATAGCATCCACCTCATTGGGGTCTGGAGGGATTATGTGATACAATGTAAAATGATCATTCAATAAATGTTGCTGTTATTTCCAATGCAGTGTGGAAATGCATAAGGAAACATGGTTGTAAGAAATAAGTGTGCCCTGTATTTAGCCTGCCCTGTCCCCCAGTCAGCCTTGGCCGCCTGCCCTGAAGTCCCCCCACTGCTGCTGGGGGTGGCGGACTCCACCACCAACTGGCTTTGCTCTCTAAGAATAGGCTTCCCTCACAGATGGCATCTCTCTGGATCCTACCAGAGCATCTGGTGCCTCCAACTGCACACTCCAGGGAGAAAGGCAGGATGGTCTCATCTTGGAGGAGCAGAGCCCCAGCCTCCAGCAGCTCTATGAAGAGCCCTGGTCTGCTCCTTCCTAGAGGATCCTCCATTTTCTATGAGCTGTACGTGAGGCTTGCCAAAGGGCTCTTGGCACATAAGAGCTACTGCAGTTCCTGAAACAGTATAGTGGATTAATCTGTAATTATTAAGCACGTGCTACATTTATATGAACCCCTTTAACACGCAAGACTTAAAAATTATCTTCTCCTTTGTGGGGGGAGGAGTTTGGTTTTTGTTTTCTTGTTGAGACAAGGTCTTGCATAGCTCAAGCTAGCCTTGAACTCAATATGTAGTTGAGGCTGGCCTTGAATGCCTGATCCTCCTGCCTCTATCTCCTGAGTGCTAGGATTACAAGTATGTGCCACTGTGTATGGCCTGTTTTATTGTTTTGTTTTAATATTTTATTATTTTTATTTTGTGCATATGAGTGTATTGCCTGCATGTATGTAAGTGCACCTATGTCTTACAATGCCTACGGAGGTCAGAAGAGAGCATTGGATTCCCCTGGAACTGGAGTTACAGACAGTTGTTAGCTGCCATGTGGGTGCTAGGAATCGAACCCAGGTCCTTTGCAAGAGCAGTCGGGGCTCTGAACCCCGGGGCCCCTTCTCCAGTTCCTGTTGGTTTTTTTTTTTTTTTTTTGGTCTTTTTTTGAGACAGCTGGCTTGGAACTCGATTTGTAGACCAGGCTGGCCTTGAACTCACAGAGATCCACCTCCCTCTGTCTCCTGAGTGCTGGGAATAAAGGCATGTGCCACCACGCCACGCCCGGCTTTTTGCTTTTTTTTTTTTTTTTTTTTTTTTTTGAGGGAGAGTCTCACTCTGTAGCTGGGGCTGAACTGAAATTTACTATATAGTCCAAACAGGGCATGGTGGTGCATTCCTATAATCCCAGTCTAAAGGAGGCTGAGGCAGGAACCAAAACTACATTTGAGACTCTGTCTCAAAAGCCAGTAATACATACATAGACATAGTGTGAAAATCAAACTGTATAAAAAGTACATGGTGGGGAACTGGGGTGGAGAGAAGGCTCAATGGTTAAGAGCACTGGCTGCTTTTGGAGAGGACCTGGGTTCTGATCACAGTACCCACATGACAGCTAACAACCACCTTTAACTCTAGTTCCAGGGGATCTGATGCCCTCTTCTGGCATCCATAGACATTATATGCATGTAGTGCACCTTCATATATGCAGGCAAAGCACTCATACACAAAATAAATAAACAAAGAAATAAATAATAAAAAATTTTAAGAAGCACATAACAGAGAAGTCAGATTCCTTCCTGTATCTAAGCTCAGCCCTTGCCAGTGACACTCACCGTTAGCGTTTCTTTCTTTTTTTCCTGCGTGTGTATGTGTATATGTGCCTATGAATGTATGCGTATGTGCGTGTGTACATGTGTGCGTGTAAAGCTCAGACAGATCAGGTGTCTTCCTCAGTTTTTCTGTAGTTTATTTTTGAGACAGGGTCTCTCACTGAACCTAGAACTCAGGGATTCAGTTAGGCTGGCTGGCCAGTGAATCCCCCCATCTCTGCCTCTGCAGCTCTGGGATTACGGATGCATGGCACTGTATCTGGCTTTTTACATGGATGCTGGGGATCCAAACTCAGGTCCTCATGCTTGCATGGCAAACACTTTACTAACTGAGCCATCTCCCTCCACCACCCACACCTGTCTTCAGAGCTGCACAGCCTTC